TATAATTAATATAAATATATATATATAATTATTTTTAATTATCAAAAATATGCTAAAACATTAATTTATCATTAAAAACTTTACAATATTTAAGTTCTTGAAAAAAATGATTAAATGTCACAAATTTGTTGTAACAGATGATGCCACAGATGTCTTTTCTTCCTCCTTTTCTTCACAAGGAATCTTGCTCAACAATTGCTTGATATCTTCTTTTAGTGCTAAAATAACTTTCTTGTATTCTTGTATTTGCTTCATATATTTCTCCTGCAACTCGTAGTATCCGTGATACGTTTGTTCCAAGATTTTTCTCGCTTCTGTAGGTCGTATGTGTTTTTGCGTTAATCCCAGCAAATTCTCCATATATAAAATGTTTTCTCGTGCTTGCTTCAACTCTTCCCTCAATGCGTTCAATTCCACAGTAAGTATACTATTTTCCTCTGTCATCTTCAATTCTTTGTCACCTTTAGACGTATCCCGGAACTGCTTCTGCTTCTTTAAAGACGCGATAGTCTTTTCCAATTGATCCTTTTGCCTGATGAATTCGCACTGCGCATCTATGTCCGCTTTGCGACTACGTAGGATTTCATCATCCGCGCTATATTTGTGATATAAATTGGTCACCGCGGTTTTCAGAGCGTTCGGTTCTTGTATAAGTTCCGAGGCTTTAAGAATGTCGACGCGAATTTTTCGTAACAGTTGCTGACATCTCTTGTTCTTATGGATTTCACGATCGATCTCTCGGCGTGCGCTCCGCAATTTCTCCCGCTCTTTGTGTAGCTGCAGCTCTAAGTTTTCGTTTATCTTTTGGAGACTTATGATCTCCTCCTCTATGTTCCGAATACTATTCTTCAGTTCCTGTATCTCCTGATCTCTCGGTTGTATCTGATTCCTCAACTCATCAATCTTAAAATTCGACACAAACTTGAATTTCTCCAATTCCTGATTTATTCGCTTCATATCATATATCTGTTGCTCTTTATTCCGAATAGTAGCGTCCCTCTCGGTGATTTCCTTCTTTAGATCCGTTATTTGCTTCTCAAGATCCTGTATATTTTTGAGAAACTGCGCATATTCGCTTTGCACCCGATTCACTTGCCTCTTTAGATCATCAATGTCTCTTTGACTCGCCATGAATTTGTTTCGCATTACTCCGGCCTCTCCCTTTAGTTTCAAACTGTTCTGCTTTTCTTCGTATAGGAGGTTCTCGTATTTCGTACGTATTTCGAGAATCTCACGATCCGCGTCATTCTCTATTTGCGACATCAATTGTTCATGAACGCGTTCCTTATGCATCATTTCGTCGAATGTTTCTTCCAGTTGTATTTTCTTCTCGTAAAGCAAAGCTTCGTATGTCGTCATGGTTTTTTGTAATTGCTCCGCGTCGCTTTTCTCAAGATCTTTTAATTGCTTCTCATAGTTCTCTCGCATAGCATTAGTATGTTCTTCAAATGCTTGATACTTGTCGTATTCCGTAATTAATTTGGCCTCATAATTATTTTCCATTTGTTGCATCGCCTCCTCGTGTGATGCTTTCATCCTCACGATATTCACATTCATATTGTTCACCTCATTTCTGTGATCCTCCCGATCCTTATCTGCTTTATCTACAAGTTCCTTGATGGCTTCACAATAGCCTTGGTGCACCTCACGTAATTTATCGTTGTGCTGAATATCAATTTGCCGCAGTCTATATGCATGCTCCGTTTCCAATTCTCTCAATCTCACTGTCAGATTTTTGATGTTATGTATCTTTTCTTCTAAGTCATCTTTACCGATTAATACTTCGTTCGTATACGGCAAATCTCTGCTCATCTTTACTTTCCCTTCGGGAAAGAATAACTTCCAAATACATAAACTGCCATCCTTTGCAACTGAGATCAAATAATTTTCGTTGTAAGAGAGTGCGATCTAAAAAAGAAGAAAATACAATGATTAGGAGAATAATTTATATTTTCATTTATTCTCATTGTATTAAGAGAAAGAAAGATACCGCCGTGACATCGACGCAGTGCATATGGAAATCCATTGATTCTATTGGAGTTTGAAGCGGACTTTTCAATGAAATGATGATACCACTGGGAGAAGTTATGAATAACATTAGATCATCTTTCCCCATGATAATTTGTTGCATTTCTTTGCCAGGCAATCGAAACTCTCGTACTATCTGATAAAGAACATATCCCAGTCAGCAAAATGTTAACAATTTGCTTACAAATTGATGCAAATTTGATAAAAAATATTAGCAAGTTGACATCAATTATATTCGCATTAAGCTTGCGTTTTGCGGACAAGGCTCACTAACACAATGTAATCAAATTGTCGACAAAGACTGAGGAAGTTTTGATCGATTCTTGCAATCAATTTACCAAACTTGTACACGGTTTGTGCCGGCCGATAATTCATTCTTATATTACGTCAGCAGATTTTGTTATATATCTGCTATCAATTTGCTGACATCATTGAATATAACAGAATTTGCATCAAATTTGATGTTTTTTTATTCACAAAATGTATAGCGAGCATTTGATAAATTGTTTTTGACTTGGCTGATTCAGTAAAAGTATATTTCCAAAAGCAATCGCATAATTTTAAAAATAAAAATAAAAGATATCAAGATATACCTCACTCTCCTTGATTTCGCGTATCTGATCGTCCTGTGCGATGCAGTAAATGAATGACGTGTCCGAAGAAAATGCAATGTCGTGTAGGACAACGGCTTTCCAAATAAACTCGCTGGATCGCGTACCAGTGATCATATTCCACTCATATATAGAACCTTCCGCACCCAAGCTTAGTATTTTCAGATCCGTCTGCGACCAGAGAAGCGTCTTCACTTTGCCTGTGTGTCCCTTGAGGACAAAGGGATTAGAGAAGCCAATAGTGGTGTACACTTGTATAATGTTGACATTGACCGCGGCGAATAGATGACCATTGTGACTAAAGCGAACTGTCTTGCAATTTCTGATGGCGATTTCATGCATTGGTAGCAGATCGTCGATCAAGATGCTCATGAAGCGTAATTTATCAGTAAAGCCGATCAGACAGAATAGTCCCATCGGATGCAATGCGACGCTAAATATATCTTCATCATACTGCTTCAGCATAATAAGACTTTCTGTTTCAAAATCCCACAGTCGAACGCTATGATCAAATTCGCCGCATGTCATGAAGACCGGCTTCCACGCGCACATGGAGAGGCCATTGATGGAACCATGATGTAACGGCTGGCCCATAATCTCCATTTTCTGTGGTTCCGGATCCATCTGCAGATCTGGACCCCATAGCATCGCGTAATACAGTTGGGACCAACTGGTGGTGACAATCAATTGGTCAAAGCTGGGATTCACATTGATCGTGTGGATCTTGTAAAGATTCGGGTCGTCGTCCTTCATCATTCGCTGTGGAATCACGTAAATGTTCCTCTTCATATAGTTGTGTTTCCCTTCTTTTTCGAAGAGTACGATGGTTCCTCCGCCGTGCGCGTAGGCAAATCCACGTGGAAATGCGATTAAGCAGCGTATGTTTTGTTGCCAGATAATGTCCTCCCTGATTTCTAAGCTGGCGACGGTGGGCATAACGTACTCCTCGCGAATCTTAAGATTCATTGTCACGGTATCAGTCATCCTGTACACGTTTTTAAGATCACCGTTCTCTAGGTAGAGCATGCGGCCGTCATCGGTGCCAACCATAAGTCTGTCGCCGTCCAACCAAGCCATCGAACAGACAAGGAGGTTCTCCGCTTTAGCGAAACCATATGGGCGCCATATCGAATCAGAAACGATAAGAAACTTAAAGGTATAAGCACCACCGACCGCTACCACTGTCGCGTCTGTTGGATTGCAGGATAACACATCGGCGATCGCCAATGGATTTTGTGGATTGGTCAGCTTAAACGTTGACTCGACCTTGCCCTTTTCCCAGTTGTAAAAGAGCATCGTTTGATCGGGTTCGCCAGTAATTGCTACCAGATTCTTACTATCGAAAGTAAAACTTATACATGTAAACCTAGTTACTCCTGGAGCGTCAAAAGGTATCCCAAGCAGCTTCCTACGCTTCAGAGAGTTGATATCATAGATGGATATGGAAGGTTTGTCTCCTATATCGGATAAAGCAACAAATTTCCTGAAATTATAGATTATTTAATTACAATCTGTATGTAAAAAAATAGAGAAAGATTAAAATATATCCACATCTTATACCTTATGAAATTATCTTTTTATTTTTCTTTGTAAATTGTTATGTTATCTTTCCTAATAACAATTTATTGGCAATACATTAGATTTGTTCTTTTTAGCAGAATTTCTTGTACAATTCATCTCTCTCTTTCGCATTGAAAAAGAATTGATGAACTGTGCAGGAAGTTCAGCTAAAAAGAATATATCTATTAAACTTAAGAATATATTGAACCAATATTGAGCTAACACTGAGATTAATATTGTACCAATAAATTGTTTTCTATATCAGGGTTATTAAAACTAAAAATATGAAAGTTTGCTTCAATTAATTCAGTTTCATATGGTTGAATGAGTTTCTCTTTATTTTATTTTGTTTTCTTTTACGGATGAATGCTCACATACTTCATCAAATTTACTCACTTATTGGGCGAGACACAAATGCCATTTGCGTCATAATATCTTTCAGGTAATCGAATCAGTTTCTGCTGACGCTGAAAAATATTGTGAATGGCCAATGCATTGCCGACTGGATATAAAACTTCCGCATCTGTGATATAATGCGCATTGTTGGCAATATCTGTCTTCAAACCGTAGAAAACGCGAGTTTGCAAGGACACAGCCATCTCGCTTGAGAGCTATTTTTTATGAAAAGTTAACAATAACTTTTCTCTTGTATCTAAAAGGA